AGCAATGCTGTTGTTTTTCTGCCCCATTCTGACAAATTTTTTTTTTTTTGTAAATGTCTTTGTAGAGCATGAGATTCACCCTCCCCCACCCCCATTCTTCTAGAGTGATATTTCTGAAGGAATATCTGGTTTATTTTAAGGAAAGTCATGTATTCTTTTGAAAATAAGTAACATTATGTAAAGAATAATTTTTTTTTTTTTTTTTGCTTTTACCAGATACACTCAATTACCGAGTTTTAATATTTATCAGAGTTGGTTATAGTAGTAGCAAAGTCTGTTACATAGTATATCACACACTTGTTACAGGTCTTTGCTTTAACCCCATTTCATATGTGCCTCTTAATAATAACCCGATTTTCAGTCTGCATACTTCCTAAGTGATAAACGGGACAGGAATTTCTTCGGGGAGTTTTTCTGTTAATTCTATAGCGCCTGCAGTCTGCCTGTGTCCGAAAGAACAACTGAAAACATTCAGAGCCCAGTACATTTAGAAGCTCTAGCAACCCTGCCCTTCCCAGACACTTGCCTCTTTTGCCAGCTTTATGGCACAGGCTTCAGTTAGAGACGGCTCCTCCCCTGGTGGTTTGGGCAGCACTTTCTTCTGGTTCCAGCAGCTTTAAAAACCATCACCCTCCTTAACAGAACAGTTAGTTAACATAATGACCACCTAGCTCCTTGGCCCTCCCCTGCGTCGGTCCCTGCGTGGCACCACCTGCTGGGCGGCCTTGTGCTCTGGAAGGAGGCAGCACTGCTACAGCGGATGAGAGGACCGCTCAGCTCCCTCGCACGCTGTGGAAGCCGCCGTCCTTGCCGACCAACAGCACTTGTACAGAAACAGCGCATCTTCCTCCTGCATCTGGGTGATTAACTCTGCCCCGTACAGTATTGGACTCAACACGTATACCTGCACGTTTTAGTTTCACGGGATATGTTTCCAGCTTTTTCTCCAGCTTGTCACATTCGTTTTGAGTTGTGCTGTTTCACTGCATAAATTAGGTGCCCAGCCATGCCTCCCAGCGTGCCTGCTGCGTCACAGCTCTGCCATCAGTTATTAGTTCCACAGTTGGGTAGCCCTGGCGTTGGGACCCATCACTGCCCAGCAGTCCAAAATGCTTCTCTCGTAACGGGTAGCACACTAGCGCCTCATCACCTGAGCTCTGACTCAGCAGTAACAGAGTTGAAAGCACATTTTCTTCATGTTTTGCTAACTTGGGGAACCCTCCGCACCACAGATTGTTGAAGTCTAGAGTTACATATGGAAGACTCAGAACCCATGAACATGAGCTACTTTCTGATTCGGTGCAGCAGTAGATACTGGTCTATCAGAACGAATCCTTCACCGGGGTAACCTCACTGACAGACGAATATGGTCAACCGCAGCTCCGAGCTGAAAGCGCTAATGAGTTCTAACGTGGGCAGCACACACTGCAGTGGGTTCGAATTGACAAAGGAGGAGGACACGCGGAGGCAGCGCTGGCCCGCACACCAGGCCCAGCAACGCTGCGGCTCCGGACCAGAGGGAAGGTGTGCCCAGCCGCACTCCTGCTGCGTGGGGGCCGAAAGCAGGTGTCCTCGGCTGGGCTCTCGGGCCTGTGACTCCTCTGCCACTGTCAGCACAGTTATATATGTACATGTACATTCCAGCCAGCAAGGTTCTCAGCTTTCTTCCCATCTTCAAGGGGATCCATGAATCATTGAGGGCCAAGAAGCTCTGTTTGCTAGATGGACAATGATCCAGAACTGATAAAATAGGTTGATGGCATTTGAGACAACAAAAAAATTCAAGGGAACCAGAATTAACATTTATTGAATGTGAATTGTGTGCCGGAGACTTGGAGACATCATCCAGTACTCCCAATAACCTCTCCAGTGGAAGAGGCATTCGAACCCGGGTCTTGCTCTCAAGCCACCTGATTCCTGCTGCACCACATGCCTCTCTGAAGAGTGACAGTGACTAGCCGAAGGTTGATCACAAATAAAGAGAAGCAAGCTAAAACATGGGGAAATGTGATTTTATAGTCAAAATCATATTTTTTTTTCAAATTAAGAGCTTGTCTATTGAATAAAGTTGAGTGATTTAGACCAAACTGAGGTCCCAAGCAGGTGGGGTGGCCCCAGGGTGCAGCTTCTAGTAGGAATGGTTCTTCTTGAGAGAAGGCTTTGAAGAAACAAGATGTAAATGAACAGTCGTGAGCCCTCCTTCGTTGTTGGGCTCTCGAGGAATGAGATCATATGTGTACGGACCAAAAGATTTGGTTGAACTAATTCAGTTTCTCTTTTGCATCTCTCTACTAATTCATGACAGTCATTCACTAATACATATCATATTGAATTAGGTACATTCTACTATATTATACTCTATCTCCAGTTGTATTAATTATTTTCTTACAAATCTTCTTAGCAGAATGTGAGAAATACTCCATGTAACTGAATGCTTAACCCCTTAATGCCTCTTTGCTGATAACTGTAAATCCTGAAATCCATATTGATCATTGCTTTGTGGAAAATATTATGTGAGCATATTCAGTGGGCATTCCGCAAAAGTACTCACAGATTTCTGGGGTTTTCTATATTCCTTCTCTTTGACCAGTATATCCTCTCTAAAACAACACCATCATCTATTTGGAATACTCTGTTTGGGGAGGCTGAGCAGGATTAATTCCCATCCTGGTGTTGCAGTGTAAACAGCTTTTTGCCTGTCTTTTGTCATTAATGATCATGCTGGAGATGTAGCCAGTGCATTGTAAGCCAATCTGTCAAGGCAAATAAACAATTCACCTTGTTAAAATTCCCTAAATCTTGCATTAATAAAACCAAAGTAACCCCCTGAACACTCAAGAGATGTCTTCCTTCATGCTGCTGTGATGGATGACATGTCTAAAGATCCTGGAAATTAAGTAGTTCAGGTCATTAAAAGTGTCCCACACTTGTTATTGATTTAATTTATTTTAAAAGGTGGGGGTGGAGATAAGAATGTCACCCCCCATTTTTTTAATCTGAAAGCTACCGCTTATACACATAATTAAAACTATTGCTTGGGTTGTGTTTGTTACAACATTAAGCTTTATTATTCAAATACGTATTATGTTAGTCTCTTAATCTGGTGTGTAGAAACAAGTAGATAATCATTGCAACTTGTGTTATGGCAAAAATTCCGTGGGGCTGCATGTGTATGATGATTCTGAGAACCTAAAGTTCTGGGTACTGAAATAATGACCTTCTAGGCACCCCCAAAATTTCCTCAGGTAGATAAAAATTCAGATGAAGGGCAAATGATTTGAAGGAAATGAAGTGAAATAGTAATGAAAGTATGCCTCTGGAATATTTTTTGTTTTATGAATTTGTCATTTTTCTACTTGTATAATCAAGGAAAGAATAAACATTTTAGGTAGATGGAAGGATGGGTGGATGGATGGATGGAAGGATGGGATAACATTTAGAGAGTGGTGGAGTTTTCCATTTCATGTCACTACATTCTAGGGCAAGTGTACGTTGTGTATGTTTTGTTTACTTGTTTATCACTAGTTTTCCCCACCAGCCCACATTCTACTGGACCATTGTATTCACTGCCATACCCCAGTGCCTAACATAATAGATGCTATTTATTTGTTGAATAGATAAAGTATAACCCCCAAGTACTTTTCCTTATTTCTCATGTTTATTCTTTAAGCTCCAGTGGGTACAGTTGGTTGTGGGAGGAGCAGTAGCAGCCCCAAACAGGACTGGCTCTCGAGATGAGCCCTCTCCAGGGACCCACCAGCAGGACGGTTGAGCACTAGTATGGTCCAGAGGTCAGCCTGCTAGGACTGGCGACCTGTGTGGTCCTCACTCCATTTTTATGTCCTGAACTGGGTCACAGTATTCCAAAACCCTGTAAGAAATGGAGCAGCTCAGTGTGTAAACTATGGCTAAAAACAGTACATCATATAGAATTGTGCATATACAGGATACTCAGAATTCGAACTTACCTTTGTCATCTGTTACATACCTTGTGCATCACCTTGCAGAGCTGCACCTGATCAGCTGTGGGAATGTATTTCACCATTATTCTCATTGTTCTGTAAACAAAGTGTGCTTACTAGGGGGGAAACAGCCATCATAAATTATGAAAATGACCTCTGAAACTAGTTATATTAATTTCAGAGATTACTTTTGTTCTCCGATGTTTTTTCCCATGGTCTTTGCAAAAAAGGAGAGAGGGAGGGGCAAATGTGCAGTCAGTTTGCACACGCTGGCCGACTCTCAAAAATAGATGTGTATGAAAATGCACTCTGTAGTTCTCCATTAAATTTCTCTTTGAAATTGCATGACTTGGATACCCGAGAACTGACATGGTTATGCCATTATGCCAGCTCTTTAGCAGAGCCCTACAAATGGAACAACTCTATAGATTTTTTTTCAGCCTATAAGCTGATTTACACTGAGTGGTAAAGTTGTTACTGACGCTTTAAGTGGAGCTGTCCAAATAGCAATAAATGTCAGTTGGTCCTGATGCTGAGACAGGTGATAGCTGAGATCTTGACTAAATCTTCCAGTTAAAAGAAGCCGTGCCTAGTATTTCCTAAATAGTAGTGGTCTCTTGTAGATCACACACACACACACACACCTTATCATTCAGTAAGGAAAAGTTGATGTACATATTGTGGCAGTATTGTTGATAGTCCCAGATTTCTGAAATGCTCACTCTGGATTCGAATCTCCATGAAGGCAGGAACTGTATCTACCTGGTGTCCCACATATATATCAGCATCTGAATAATAGATGCTCTCTAAATGCTGTTTGGGTGAAAGAATAGAAAAACAGGAGCATTTGCTAACACTTAATAGCACGTGTGTGGGCCTGAATTCTTGGCGGGTGAAATAGAGACCACACCTCATACTGATGGTGAGGAATGATGCTGGTAAAAAACTTTGATGGATGGTTATGACTTTTGAAATAGTTTCTTTTTGATTGATTGCCTAGCAAACTTTACTTTCTAAATCTGTTTTCTGCTTTCACAGGCTGTCATTTTAGAAAATGAAGAACTTCCCAAACTGTTTCTTGATTTCCTAAACATACGGCACTTGCCGTCTCTACCAAAGGCAGAGAGTTGTGGGTAAGCATTGCTGTTTACTTATTGGACATCTTCAATCACTTACTGGCCTAACAAATATCCCACAGTGGTGCCACAAGGGGCAGCCTGGCCACACCCATTCTTTGGCTGGAGACAGCACTCTCGCTCGCCCCCTGCTTGTAAGCGAAGGAATTTCTCCTGAGCCCTTAGCCTCATATTGCGGCCCAGTGACCAATAATACTCAGTAACTCAGGTTTAGATTTAAGGAAATGATTTTTAAAATTATGTTGTTGCATGGAGTGATGTTGCATGATGGAAATTATGAATCCAGATATCCTGCTTAGGGACCAGTAAGTTTATTTGTGCACACTTGAGCAAAGTCCCCTTGGCACGTGTGTTCATATAATCTTTAAGTTACAAATGACCTTAGAGATGACTTTACGCATCTCCCTTTATTTTAGAGTTGAGCAAACTGAGACACAGGGAGTAAGTGGCTTTCCCCAGATCTCTGTCCTGGTAGCTGGCAGATCCCAAGCCTGCCAACTCTCCTTCCCCACTCTCCTGCTACCTCTCCCTCCGGAGCTTCTGGGCCGGGCTGTAGACCCTGAGCCCATCTACCAAGGAACCAGGCATTTGCTATCATCGGCCATTGGGAAAGGTTCTTCTGAAGAATTACCTCGGAAATAAGCCAACTCGCCCAGCTCTGGGCACCTAACTTGTGTTGAGCTGGTCTCCGAAGGTCGTCAGCAACACCCCTGAAATATTAAATCCATTTACAAAGACATACACCATGTCCGACTCTGTGCACATCCCAGCGGGGAAGATGGCTTGATCCATTTTCTCACCGCCTGCACAGCTGCCTGAAGAACCCACGTTAACCACGAGTTGTCCGAGCTAACCGCACCCAGCGTCCTGCCCAGCCAGCCCTCTGCCGAGCGAGGGGCTGCAAATGCCTGTCCCAGCCCCTCACTGAGGGCCACTTTCCGCTCCATTATACACCCTGCTCCCCAAGTCCTCGGTGTTGTCAGTGCACCCTGTTCCGGGAGGGTGGGGTTCATATGCGGTTGTGTATTTTTAAGAAGAGATGTCCATTAAAATCTTTTCTCCATTATATAAGCCCCAAAGGAAAGCTATAGGATTTTTGAGTGGTTTCCGGGAAAAATGAAATTCAAGAAGATTGCAGTCTTAAGATTCCTCAGAATTAAGGCATCAGCCACACGGGCCTCTGTGAAAATACCTGACTCTCTTTTCAAAATATCTCCCAACTTAGAGCTTCAGGAATACTGACTGTGTTTTCCTTTGTTGGCATCAACACTGACCCAACTTATATGGTCTTTTTCTTTTAAAAAAATTTTTTTTTAGATCTTTTGAGGAGACAGAATCTGAAGAGTCCAGGTAAGTACTAATTGTCATCAATCAGGAGATACACAGTATAAATCAAAAAGAGGACTATGGTTTTGTTAAATGTTTCATTGCCACGGTATAAGTGTTTAAAGGCATAATTTTCTTGAAAACCTTTGTTAGGAAATTGGTTTTAAGATGATAAATACTTGATAGGAAATTATAAAAATAACCAGTTCTATCTGGGAGTGAAAGAATCAGAGCCCTACATTGTTTCATACAAATAATAATACTATTTTTATCAATAATCATGCTACACGAATAGGGAAAAAAAAAAAAAAAAAAACCCACACTTTTCAGCAATGATTTATTGTGCAGATTGTATATCTGCTTCAAATTCCACAGAGAAGTGTTGGGAAGAGGAGCGCCGTACTGGTCTGTTCCCTCGAGCTCTCTCGCTATTATTCACCCACATTGTTAGATACGTAAACCTTGAGATGTCCCTGCACAGCAGTTTGATCCCCTCAAAGCTAGTTTGTAGTGTTTTCTGTTTACCGTCGTCCCCTGATGCTGACATGCCTGTTCTTGACCTTTCCAGCAAACTGTCCCACCAGCCGGTGCTGCTGTTCCTCAGGGATCCATACGTCTTGCCTGCAGCCAGCGGTAATCAAACCTGTCATCTGCTAACAGCTCTTTACTGATCTGACCCTGCACCACACAAACCACGTTTTTAATACAGGTCTAACAGCCTGACGCTGGTCCAGGGCTTAATACTCTGCCAATAAACCAGTGTTCTTGGTGTGAGAGATAATTCAGAATTTTAATTGGGGCAGGACTTTCAGGAGGAAATATAATTTTTCTTTCTCTCTTACCAGGCTATTTTGAATTAAAGTGATAAGGGAGAAAGGTATTTATTGCCTTTAATTTTGTTTGGTGGTGTTATTTTGGCCTCTGGTTGTTTGTAGCCAGATGCTAGTGTTTGAATCCAAGGCTCTGGTCCTTTTTGAAAAATGCTTCTTCCCCAAAAGCTGTGTATGTACATTGGTGTGTATCTCCATTTCCATTTAGATTACAGCATCTCTGATGGTTGAATATATATATTTTTAAAAGCTGTATATTTGAATATAATGAATAATTCAGGTATAAATGTGATCAATACGTTAGCCTAAGTCCTTTCTTTGTGCCAAGAAATTTAAATTACTCAGTCCCTCTCAAAGCATTTTGTTTTGTGCCTCTTCATGATTACATTCTCAGACATTATCTCATTTAATTTCCTGAACAACCTTATGAAATGGGCCGGGCAGGTACCGTCATTGGTTAGAGAGAGGATTGGGGCAGGGAGGCACTGGCCTTGCTCAGTTTCACATGGCTGACGGGTGGACCCCTTGTTGCCTACATTCTCCTGTGTGCTTTACATGCAGTGAGTTTTCAGCCTTTGTCTCTGAGAGTCACTAACTAGCATAGCAACTAAACAGCAATAGATAAATTACCTTTTGAGACCATTCCTACATTCTGACAATAAAATCTTATCCCCAGCAAGAGAGAGGGGACTATTCTGTGTCGCAGGGGTGTGTGTACTGAGATCACCCACTTAGCTGTCATTGGAAGAAGGCTGGCCCGGATGCAGCTCTGCTCTGTTGAGGGGCCATTCCCAGCACCCTGAAAAGAGAGAGCTGCCTTTGCTATGTAAGAATATGGTCTCAAAGGAGTAATTGCCTTTCTTTAGCATTTGCTTTTCCTGTTTAACAAATATGCGTGTTATATCAGTGGATATTATGTTAACAAAATGTTATATTTAACAAATATCATGTAACTTCACCTAGATTAAATGGGCAATGTTTTATAAAGTATTCTTATTGTCTTTTAAAATGATTTCACAAGTACTTTTTCTGGGTATTGTTAATACCCAGATATTTCATGCATTTGACTGAAATTCCCATAGAAGTGTAGAAAGTGGAGTGATCACTGTGCCCTGGAATAGCCAGGATGTTTTATGGAAGAGAGAAGGTATTTTATGATCCTTATTCATCTGGCTTATTAAACACATGTGCTATGCACCTGGCTTGACAATGAAGAACAGGAGGAACTTTCTGGGAAAGGACATCAGAGGGCAAGTGTCTAGAGTTAGGAAGAGTAAGAAGTATGTGTCGTTGGTAGAATGCTGGGTGGATGAATGACCTGCATAGAAAGGGGATTCATGTTCGAGAGTCAGTGCAAGCCACGGGTTGGATGGACCGGATGGAACCAGGTATGGAGTGAACTCTGAGCTTGCAAGGATGCTGGTGGCAATGCTGTTGTCTTTCTGCCTAGTTCTGGCAGCGTTTGATCAGTGCTTTCATGGAGCGGTATCTATTTTCATGGAATTTTGGCCAATCCAATTTTATAAGGTAGATTCTAGTTGTCCTAAACCTATTATACTAATAATAGCCTTGCAAATCTTTTTTTCATCCTCACCTGAGGACATTTTTTTCATTATAGTTCAGATAGAGTGGGAGGAAGAGAGAGAGAGAAACATCGATGTGGAAGGGACACATCGAGTGGCTGTCTCTAGCACGAACCTAACCAGGGCAGGGAACGAACCACAACCGAGGTACGTGCCCTTGACCGAAATTGAACCCACAACTCATTGGTCTGCGGGCTGACGCTCTAACCGCTGAGCCATACTGGCCAGGGCTCTTGCACATCTTTAGCGCTTACTTTAAAGATAAATTATGCTCACGTTACATTTTCGTGTTGTTATGCTTCCTAACAAAATGTGAAGGTTACCCATCCAGAGGATATGGATACAAATACGGAAATACCTTAACAGACATCCTGACCCTCACAGAATCAGAGGAGGGTCTGTCTTTAAAGTTCTAACAATGGAACACTATCCTCTTATAAAATGCTAATAATCAAATATAATTCTCAGAGCATATCCTTTTCAGCCTTTGTTTTCATTTTTCTGAGAAATTTAAAACCACTCTCGCCAAGGTCCCCAGCGACTGCAGTGCAGCTGAACTCTGTGGGCGTTCCCAGCCCTCCTCTTACTTGACCTCTTACGAGCGTCAGCCACCGTTGACCCCTTTCTCCCCCCATACGTCGTCATTCCTTGACTTCTCCCACGTTTCTACTTTCCTTCTGTTCTCGGGCAGCTCAGCTGGAGGCTGTCATGCACCTTCCCTCGGCTCATGAGCTTTCTTTCGAATAATCTCCTCCTGGTGTGTGGCCTTGATTACCTGGTGCAGGCAGCTGAGACACCAGCTTGCATCTCCATCCCAGCCCTCTCCGTGGGCTCCACACTCGCATCTCCAGGACTTAGCCTCAAACGGTGGCTCCTTTCCCCCAGGGCACTTACTGCTTCTTTTCCTTGAACCTCCTCTTCTTGTCCCCACGCATGGTTGGCTCTCCTGTCCTTCAGGTAAGACTTCTGAGACCTTCGCTGGCTCTTATCAAGTAGCCTCCACAAGCCCCTCCACCCCATTCATCTTTTTTTTTTAGGTTCATAATAAATGTTTATGAAATAAATGAAAACCGACAAAAATGTTAGCAAAACCTAGCCTAAATCACATTTCTTCTCATCAAAGGGGAACTGAGGCAAGAGCCATTTCCTGAGTCTTCAAACAACAATGGACATTATATTAAATCATATTTATGATTTAATGATGAAGCCAAAATTCACCGTTTAGAGGGGACTGAAACAGATGAGAAGAAGAAAGTGACCTCTGATTATCTCAACATTGGTCACTAGTCGGTGGACCTTGTTATTAAATACCTGCACTCCATTCACTTTTTTAAAAAATGTATTGATTTTTAGAGGGGACGGGAGTGAGAGAGAGAGAAACATCGATTTGTTGTTTACTTACTTATGCATTCACTGGTTGCTTCTTGTAATGTGTCCTGACCAGGGATTGATCTCGATGATGCTCTAACCAGCTGAGCTACCCGGCCAGAGCCCCTGACTCACTTCCTTTATAGCAGTGATCACAAACTTTGTTCCCTTTTCTTTCTCTCTCTGTTTTATCCACTGTCTAAATCTCCACCATCTGGCATATGCTCGGCACTTGAATACAGGTCCTGGCACGCACTGTCCCCTCTACTGGGAGGCTCTTCACCCAGGGGCCCTCAGTTGGTTACTGCACTTCACCCCAATGGCACCTCTACACGAAGGTCTTGCCTCGCCGTCTCATCACCACCCCTCCTTAGCCCCATGCCCTGCTTTATTTTCCTCCTTGCCCCGAAAACACTGATGGACTTACGACAGGGCAACAGAATTACCCAACATATTTAACATTACTTTTCTTTTTGTCCTTTTTTTTTGCTGGATTTATTTGAATCGCCTTAAGCTATATATGCTTATGATGTAATTTCACGAACCTTCCAAGAGACTTTTATCTTTTGGGTGGCAAAGGATAAATGCATATATGCTCATGGATGTAGTATGTCCGATTTAGGCATTTTATTGAAAACTGACAGCTTCATATGGCTGGTGGTTTCAGTACACTTAGAATTAAAATTAACTTAGCTAAACCATTGCTTTTGATTGGGGTCTAATTATATATGAATAAGTCATAAACTTCTAAAGATATGTTTTAGAAAAAATTTTATTTCATGTTGGATACAAGCAAACATGTAGAAATCAAGTGTCATCAACCAAAATTAATTGAATACTTATGTATTGGAGATATTTTAAAACATATTTTATTTGCTTACTCATTTTCCTGTCTCACTGACTAGTACGGAAGGTCCATTGGCATGGACTGTGATTTACTTCTATTCCGTGATTAGCCAGTGCTTGGTAATGGCTGGTACTACCTGTGTGCCAGGCTCAGGTCCAAGCACTTTGGTTCACTCATCAATTTTTACAACAACCCAATAGGTAGGTACTGTTGTGCAGTCCCTCACTAGTCATAGCGAACCTCCCACCGCTTTGAGCTTGCTCCAGTCCAGTCTCTAAATGGGAGCCAGAGTCATCTTTTCAAATCACAATTCAGTTCTGTCTCACTCTGCTTAATATCCTTGGATAGCTTCTCATTGCTTTTCAGATAAAGCCAGAATTCCAGGCTGTTCCTGAATTGCTCCCACCCCTCCCCCACCCCCAGGCCCTCTCACAGCTGCTCCTTGGGCTCCCCTAGGCTTCCTTCTGCAGACTTTTCACCTGCTTAGCTCCCTCTTCCCAACCCTCTCCTCCAACAGCCTTCCTGCCCTCCCTGATGGGTCTGACCCCCTAGTAAGTGGTTTCACATAGTAGGTAGAGGGTTTTTTTTTGTTTTTGTCTTAAGGTATTAGACCATTAAATTTTCTTATTATAACTGTACTTATTTCAAGTGGTTGGCTTTAGCATAAATACTGGAGACACTGATGTGCAGATTGGAGTTTAGGCGGTAACTCTGAGCCACGTGATAGATCCAGTTCCTTTCACGTGATGCCCTTGTGTGCTGCGGCCCTGGTAACCGGCACATGGTACCACACACCGGACAGCTCTGGGTTGCCTTTGCATCTGCTCTAAAAATGCAGGCCATTTTTCAAGTTTGACAGGATGGCTTTTGTCGGAAATTTGCCCTTGTAAGTTTGGACGACGGGCCCCAGGCTTCCTGCTCCCTGGAAGCTAGCATAATAGAGCAAGCATCCCGGAGACCGCCTGGACTGAGCTAGCCGCTGTAAACCACAGTGGAAAAACTGCAGCGAAGTATTCCCAGTAGAAATCTTGGAATTCCTTCAAGTATATTGAGATTTTGTTAGAAATTGAATTGCCAGTGTAATCCATCTTCCTTGTGAGAAAACATTCAGATAAAGAGCTGGGGCCTAGCAGCCTTAACCATTAGAACATCCCTTAAATCAATAAGCTACAAATCTGGCCGCGCATTCCTGCAGCCCGTGCTCCGCGAGCGCGGCTTTGGGCCGAAGCCACATGACGGATGGCACATCGGAAACCAAACTGCATGGCGGTGCAGATCCCCAAGCCACGGAGGGCCTGCCCTTGTTCAGTTCCGCAGACCGTGATGCTGTTTGTCTGATGCACATAAGAAAAGCAGTTTCCCTTTTGTTTTTCAGATTTTCCAAATGTGGTTATCGAAGGAGTTCTCCATGGAATATTCTACCCTCATCTACAGCCCAGGTAGAACGACTCCAAGGCCAGAAGAAGCTGAAGCCAGTTGCAACGTTGTAGTCCAGGAAATCGATATCTACCAAATTAACCTAAACTCTAAGACACAGCAGCTTGAGCTGCTGGTGAAATTCCAGACCCAGCTTAGCCTGGGGCAGGGACATTTCCATTAGAATGGTGCTTTTAAAAATAGAAACAGATCCTGGGCTGTGCTGAGGTGAAGGCCAAATGTTTAAGAAGTAGGATGTAGCTGCCAATTTAGAAACCCACGAAAAGGGGGCTCTAGGAGATCCCTGGGAGCACCCCTTGTGACAAAAGAAAGTGACTCTCTGCTTCCGGCGTACCATTTGCTAATTGAAAATCTTATCTTGAATCATGCTGAGACTGACCAACTCTGGTAGCTTTTTGGTTCTGTTTTTTTGTGACACACTAATCTTTTCAGTAGGAGATTTTCTCTGCCAGTGATAGATACAGTGTACAGTGCTGGTACCAGGAGGGTGTTGCAGAAACACCCATGCTAACTGTGAGGGGGAAATGAACTGGAAATTAAATGATGCTGACAAAATTAGGGCATGTTTTAAATCATGGCGTTTTTAATTGACATTACAGCAGGGTTGCCTCCTACCTAGGGACTAACTTCTAAAGTCTGTGCATTATATAAAATGGGGTACTCAGAGTATCCTTAAAAGCCCTTTAGGAAAGCACCGGGTTGGAATTCTGGCCATCCACAGTGACCAGCTTTTCCTCCAGTGTTGGAAGAAATGACTGTTTCTTCCATTCAAGGCCAATTGAAGTTGTTGGTGTTTGTTTAGGGGCTTTTTGTGTAAAAAAAAAAAAAACACTTACCTTTAAATGCTAGAATCCCAGGTACCCCTGCAAGAAGCTTGCCCCCTGAGGGACAGAATGTGAGCTGACAGCGACTGAGGAAACTGGTATTGACAACACTCAAGGGCATCCATTCATTGAACAGGCAGCATTGCCATGGGACTTACTGTTATTTTTCTTACTGTTTCCTATTCACTGACCTCATATTTAATGTAAGTTAAATGTGTTTAGGATATGACTCTACTGTACACATTATAGACATGCATATTTTGAGTAGTAAAGGATACATGCAACCTGGATATATGTGCTATGTTTGGGCATTTCATTGAAAATTACTAATTAATAGGTAGACTATTTATGATCATTAATTTTAATAAGCTTCTGTGTGGGGGAAGAATATTTAGACCCAGAACTAATTACTGAATCATGTTATTTGATTAGGATACAAATATACAAGTTTAAAGCCTGCTGCACACTTTTTAGAGAGATGTTTGTGATAGATATGTTATGACATGTTATGAAAAGCAAGAACTAAATAATCAAGTGTCATCAACCAAAATTAACGGGATAGTCAAGTGTTGGAGATATTTTTTAAATGTTTTTGTCATTAGCTATTATGAGTTAAATAAAAACAAGGAACAAGAAATATTTGAATTTGTCTTCTGCTCCTAAGATTTTATTGGAAATACAAATTGTGTCTTGTCTCTTTACACAAATGCACACAACTTCTCATGTATGCCCAGAGACATTTATTTCTAATATGACAATGACAAGGTAAGTGTTAATGACCTCATCTGTTAAACCAAAGAGTACTCATTAAATAGTTATGAATTACCAAGATAATGATAATTAAAACATAAACTAAAATACCCATCATCTTTGGTGGCACACTACTCAAGAAATATTTTTTTGAGAATTAATATTTTCTTAGTGAATGACTTTCATTTTTATTTTATGCAAATGTTTGATACATAATTTCATATTCCATTTCAACTCCATGGCAGGAACTAGAACCAGGGTAGGTATTTTAAGCAGAATGAAATAATGAGGCTGAGAGGAGTGAACTTTTGGTGGGTCTCCAGGAACAACTTCCAGAATATTCCACCAACCTTCAGTACCCACTTGCCTGGGGAGCTACAGCCTCTGCCTTAAGCAGGAATTCAGGGAGTCAGGAGCTGCTACTGGAGCTGTTGAGGTAAAGAAAATCACCATCGTAGCTGTGACCCAAGGATCAGCACGCAGTATCGGGAAGTCACTGTCACCACCATAACTGGCTCACAGCAGCGCCCTGGGAGCTGGTGACAGGCACTGGGACAAAGTGTCCGCTGCCACCACCGGCTCCTCAGTGGCCTCTCAGCACCCGCGGCCTTGCTTGCCAGCAGCTGCAGCCCAGTGCAGCGGAAGACGGTGTTTGCCACTTCCACCTTCCACGTGACATCCCGTGAAAGTCCACCCCGTGGTCAGAACCTTATTCTTGACCTCCAGCTTCAAAGGAGTCCGGGAAGGGGTTGGGACTTCCTGGTCTCCGCAGCCCAGGAATGCACATTGGTAGGATAATGGAATATATTTCCACAGTTGAAAATGTAATAAAAACATATAACATGATTTATAAGAAAGAAAAATCTCCCACCCTCTCTCCTATATTCCCGGTTCCCCTCCCACAGACAACCACCCTATTCAGTTTATGTGTATACCTCCAGGGAGAGTTCATCTACCTGTAAGCGAATAACGTACGTTTAGCATACATGCATTCCATCTTCCCCTTGTCTTATAAAACATGGATTTTTCAAAGCATAGGTTCATAGGCAACAGAGAAGGAAAAAATAGAGGGAAGAAAACGGAATAAAAAGCCCAGCTGGTGTGGCTCAGTGGTTGAGCATTGACCCATTGCACCAAGAGGTTGTCGGTTCAATTCCCGGGCAGGGCACATGCCCAGGTTGTGGGCCCGATCCCCAGTGGGGGCATGCAGAAGGCGGCCAGTTGATGTTCTTTCTCATTGATGTTTCTGTCTCTCCCTTTTTCTCCCTCTCTAATATCAATAAATAACTAAAAAGAAAAGTATCCTCGGGTGAGGATTAAAAAAAAGAGAAAACAGAATAAAGAAAAGGAAAAGAAATCCCATCACCACTTAAGGCAGAACATGAGAGAGACCTCGCTCAGTTCTTGGCGAAGTGCCGGGGCTGCCCTCAGACCACCTCCAGTGCTGTTTTGTGCAGGCTCTCAGGCCTCACCTCCGTCGCCTGGCAACCCTGGTGTCCTTTCTACTCCTGAACCATGCCCGTTTCAAACGGGGCCGCGGATTCAACCCCCGTAACACTGCGAGCATCACTCCCTGGTAAACCCTCCAGTCATTTCACTGACAAGTGTAGAAATCTCATCGTCACAGTTTAGAAATAAGTGGCTTGTATTTCATTTGTCAATCTCCATCTATTGATAATGGCTGCCTGCCGTGCTCTTTAAAAGGATTCTGACACACCCCTTAGAGAGGCTACTATCAAAAAAGCAGAATATGTTAAGGACATGGAGACATTCAAACCTTGTTACATTGCTGGTGGGATGTAAACTGGTGCAGACTGTGGAAAGTGATACAGCAGTTCTTCGAGAAATTAAAATGACCACATGATCTAGCAGTTCTACTGGATGTGTATCCAAACGGCGTGAAAATGGACTCAAACAGATTATTTGTCCACCCGTGTTCATAGCATTATTCACAACAGCCAGACGGGGGAAGCAGCCCAAGTGTCCATCGATAGGTGAATGGATGAACAAAAGGGGGATTCTGATACTTGCTACAACATGGATAAACCTCGAACACATTATGTTAAGTGAAATAAGCCAATCACAAAAGGCCGTATATGCGGTGCCTGGAATAGTGAAACGCATAGAAATAGAAGTAGAACGGTGGGTGCCAGCACCCGGAGAAGGGGAAACGGGGAGTTGTGTTCCGTGGGTTTTAGTTGGGGAAGTTGAGAAAGTTTGGGGGCTGATGATGATGGCTGTACAACAGTGTGGATGTGCTTAATGGCACCGAACTGGATGCTTAAAAACGGTTAAAATTGTAAATTTTATGTCATGTATATTTTATCACAGTTTTTTTTTTTCTTTATTGACTTTAGAGAGAGAGGAAAGGAGGGAGAGAGAGAGAGAAACATCCACAAGAGAGAACATCGACCGGCCACCTCCTGCATGCCCCCCACTGGGGATCAGGCCCACAACCTGGGCATGTGTCCCAACCGGGAACCGAACTGGTGACCTCTTGGTGTATGGGTCAATGCTCAACCACTGAGCCACGCCGGCCGGGCAGAAGCAATTATCTTAATGTTGGCTTTCTTCTGATTCCATCCTTGATGATAATTACAGATGTGGTCTCTAGCGGCAGAAACTCAGGGAAATAACAGGCACTAACTCAAAACAGAAATTCCTGCAACATTTTTGTCCACACAGGTACACAGTGACAGTCTGCATTCTGATGAGGGTGAAGAGGCATCTATTTTTGTGTGAGGGGATGGAGGGCACATTAAAATGTTAAGCCATTGCAGTGCATGTAATATGCTAGAGATAAAGGGATATCCTAGGAGTCTAATGGGGAAAGTGCCCAATAAAATGTGAACCACTGTGCCCTGGTCACTCCACCATCAGCATGGATACTCTGTACCCTGAGCGCCTGCTAGGTGCTACATGTTGTTGGATTGGGGCCTTTCATACTTTGGTCCATTATAACTACAAAGTTTTATGAACTTTTATTTAGGAAATCAGAGAGCTTAATTAAGCACTAGTTAATCACAGATTGATTAAGCACTAATTTGGGAGCCAAGAGGTATTGGGCTTTTCTCTTCTCAGATTATCCCGTTGAAACGGCTTTACCAAGGCCGCCAGTTAGCACTGGAGCTGAGGATTTCAACCTTTCGTCCACAGAGCGCTGGTGAACCCGCTCCCCTTCAGGTTGGACCTGTTTGTACTCTGCGTTTGAACCACACATGAGTGCTCGGGGCGGAAAGGACTAGCGATGGCTGCTAACATTTCCACACTACATCCTAAATGACAAAGTGCTTTCCCATCGCACTTGATTGGACGGAGCTCTCTGCGCAGCTGCGGCTTCCTCCCGGGTCTGCTCCCACGCCCTGCACACGAGCCAGAGCCGTCTTCGTGAAATGCCCGTCAGGTCATCAGATCGTGTCACTGTCTTGCTCAAAATCCTCCAGTAGCATCCATTCCCACTCAAAACGGACGTTCCCGCTGCCCCCTGCAAGTTCCTTGTCTCTCCTCTTGCTGATACTCGTCTTATTAGCAGCTCTGGTCCCTCAGTTCCCAGGACATTTCAACCGTGGTTCTCCCCTGGCCCTTGGGACCTGCTGGTACCTCTGCTTGAAACACCCTTTCCCCATCGCTGAAGAAGACTGGGTCATTCTCACACATTAGGAGTCAGCCTAACTGTCACCTCCTCAACGAGTTCCTCCTTGGTCACCCCATCTCCCAACTCCTGCACCGCACCGTTATAACAAACTGCCTTCCTTCAGAGCAGTTATCACCATCTGAAAGGACCCTGTTTATTTGTTCGCTGTCTTTCTCCCCCACGAGAGCAGGGCAGTGTCTGCCTGCTGACACTCTCTCCAGTGCAGGCCAGCCTGGGTCTCAGGGACCACCTGGAGGAGGAGCTGGTGGCAGCCTGTGTCCCCGACACACAGCGCCGTGCTGGCTACACGCTTCACAGCAGGGGCCTCATAAATGTGTGTGGGGTGCATGACCTTGAAATCAGGATTTGTTGACATCTTCCTGGATTACCATAATGATTCATTATATCCTGATGTTCTGAAAATAGTGATTTTCTACAGCTTGCTCACCAGTTTGGTTCAGAGGGGTAATGAGGTAACTTGCACTTGGAGGATCCCTTAAGTGTCTTTCTTTACAAATGAATAACTAAGCTAATTCAGTGACTACAAACCATGGTTTTGTGATATGCCAGGGCAGTGGTTTTTGAAGTTCGGATCTTGGACAGCAACATCACCCCCCCCCCCCCCCAGAAGTTGATAGAAATACAGTCTCAGACCCTGCCCCAGACTTACAGACTCAGACA